ATGCCCAGTTGGGAATGACCTTATGTTGTCAAGAAGGCCTTTTCTGGGGGAGCTCTAGTCCTAACTGAAATGGACGGATCAGAATTACCATATCCAGTGAATTCCGACGCTGTCAAGAGATATTTTGCTTGAAGAAGAAATAAAAGAGAAAAAATGAAAAAATAAGAAAAAAGAAAAATAATGGAAAAATCGAAAAGAAAAAGAAAAAAAAAAGAAAAAATGGAAAAGGGAATAAAAAATGAAAAATGAAAAATGAAAAAAATGAAAAATGAAAAAAGAGAAATAAAAGGAGGGTTCAAGATGAAAACCCGAAAAGGGCGTCTTGGAACCAAAAGAGGTCTCAAGTTGAAAACCCGCAAAGGGCGACTTGAGTTGAATTTGAAATTCAGAATTCGTGCATGGTGGAGGTTCTAAATCAATTTTGGAAGTGGAAAGAGCTCCTGATATGGATAGTAACAATGACAGTTGGTGATCAGGGATGAGATTAAAGATTAATGAGTCTCGATTAAAATAACCAAGAGAAATTGAATGCACATGAGATTCAATACTGGTTTAGGGCATCCAATGATAGAGATCTGGGAGTTTAGAAGCAGCTTCATACTCTTAAGCATCACAATTTTGGAGATCTTTTTGACAGAAGCTACACTCGAGACATTCTAACGGCGTGCTAGTTCAAAAGCATTTGCATTATTGATATTTGAAGACGCCTACTCTTTTGTTCTTTTGCTTTTTCCAGTTAAAAGTTTGCCATTTAGTTGCCTAAAATTCTCTGTATTTATATAAATAAAGAGATGTATTTTCTTGTTCATTTCCCTTTTGTAAGTATCTTATTTTGAAAAGTTAAAACATATAGCTTAACTTGAAGTACATGAAATCATTTTGTATTATTGTGCAAAAGGTTTTGGAAAATGCAGGTATTCTGAAGTTGACAATGGTTTAAACATGTAAGCTTGTGTGGCTACGGGAAGCTAAAACTTTGGACTTCGTAGAAAATTTCAGCCATTAAAAGATGACCCTAAGAGATTGTTGTTTGTCGAGAAGTTGGTCATGGATACTGGCGGGTTTCAAGAAAGAAATGAGTCAAGGTCATGTTAAGCCGAGAGATATGGAATTGAGATTGTCAACTGGGGTGAACTGGTCAAACGTTCTGTGCCCAAGATAAAGCCGAGTTTCATCAAGATCAGAAGGAGATAGTGTTCATTCGAAGAAGAAAATGCATCAAATTGCATATTTGCATACATTTAGGCATGAATAGATCATGGCACTCATAATTGCATGATGACTTAAGCATTTGCAGGTTTCCCAATGATAGTTGAAGATTGAAGATATTGCAGCATCGAGATGAAGATATTTGGTTTGGAGATTTTGAAAAGAATGATGTTTATACGAAAATTGAGCTAAAGCAGATTCACATATCCAATGGTTTCCAGACAAGTTTTCGCGATGGAGATGGATTTTCAGAAATTTTATCAAATTCTAAATTTTTGAATATAATATTTTCAAACATACATTAATGATTGATAATGTTTGATTTTCAGGTTGGACCTTCAAAACAGGTCAATCTTAAGCCTTCATGAAAGAGCAGTGAAGCAATTCAAACTTAAGCCTTCACGGAAGAGTAGTGAAGCAAGTCATCTTAAGCCTTCACGGAAGAGTAGTGAAGCAAATTCGTTTGTTGAAGATTGAGTCCTATACTCTCTGAAGGAGCGAACAAATTCATTGAAGATTGTTCGAGTTCTATACTCTCTGAAGGAATAGAGAGCGGACCCGTTTCATGAAGATTGTTCGAGTTCTATACTCTCTGAAGGAATAGAAAGCGAACACGTTTGTTGAAGATTGTTCGAGTTCTATACTCTCTGAAGGAATAGAGAGCGGACCCATTTTATGAAGATTGCTCGAGTTCTATACTCCCTGAAGGAATAGGGAGCGAACACGTTTGTTAAAGATTGAGTCCTATACTCTCTGAAAGAATAGGGAGCGGACCTGTTTATTGAAGATTTTCCGAGTTCTATACTCTCTGAAGGAATAGAGAGCGGACCCGTTTTATTGAAGATTGTTCAAGTCTTATACTATCTGAATGAATAGAGAGCAGACACATTTTATGAAGATTGTTCGAGTCTTATACTTCCTGAAGGAATAGGGAGCAGACTCGTCATTTGAATATTTTTCAAGTTTCATTTATCCCGAAGTAACAGTGAAGTGCTTTAATCTTTTGAAGTTCTCATGACCGGACAAATTTGACCATCTTTTAATCTTTGCTCTATTCTCGTTACACGATAATAAGCAAAGAGGGGCAGCTGTAGATGTTTGATTTGTCCGGGGCCCATATCACTTGCAAATGAAAACAGTTTTAGGGGTTAAAAACCAGAAAAGAAAATGTGGAGGCCATTTCTTTATTTTTTTCATCGTGGGTAATAAAAAATGAAATGTGCAGTTTTTACGTGGGGGAAATAAACTGTAAATGGAGGGGGATGGTCAGTTTTTTAATGAAATAACCACCAGAAACGGGAGAACAAAGAGGGAGCAGATACACAGTAAGAGGCAAAGAAGAAAAAAGAGAGACAACAACGAAAAAGGAATAGAGAGAACGGGGGAGATTGGAGTCGAGAGAGACCATTACGAGAAGAACAGAGATTCTACTTGTTTTTTTTAAAAACACAATAACGCAAAAGAAAAGAAGAATGGTGTAAGAGTTTTCTTTCCCATAATCAAAAATTAGACAGTGTTATCACAAAGGGATTTTCTCAGCCCTATTTCATTGGAAGCAAGCAATAGAAACAAGTCAATTGTTTTTAGCATTCAAGTATAAGTAAGCAAATTTCCAAGGTTCTTCTCTAATTCTTCTTTTGAAACTCTAATTTTTTGTTCCTTATTTGAAACTAACAGAAAAGTAAAGGGATAGTTTAAATGCTTGCCTTAATTGTAGTTTGCTTCGTTTTGCCTCATAGCTGTCAAATATATACCATTGAAACAAGGGGGTTGTGTTAGTTGGAGTAAGATAAACATGTTCCTTATTAAAATAGGAAGAATTGGGTTTTTATAATTTACCTTACAGTGTGTCGGTATCGTTGTATGCGGTCGGAGTTTGGAGTTTCACGGTGGCGTTCGTGGGAAGAGAGGGATAGGATTGAAGTTTGGTCTAGTGCCGAGTTTAAGTGGTCGTTGAACTTTGGAGTTATATTGGGTATCGAACGGAGTAGAGATGGCCACCAGGACATGGTGGCCGAGCGATGGAGTAGCGGTAGATTTCTTTTTCTGGTTTGGGCAATGTGCGTAGGAGAAAGAGAGGGGTGACTGAGCGATTAGGTGTTCCGGTGAGGCCTTTTGGAATCTGTTTTGGGTGTTTTAAACATTGAGTTAAAAGTCAAAAGGGTGAGATTAAAGTTAAGGGTTGTTAGGTGGTCGGTTTAAGATACTAGGTCGGTGAAGTGGTGACCAAGCGGCGGCCATAGGGTTTTTTTTAGCGAGTTGTGCGACAGATGGTAGCCATGGAGGTTCTGTTTTAGGTGATATGCGATCGTGGGGAAGAAGAAGGGAGAGATAGAGAAGATGAGAGGAACGGCTTGGTTGTGAGTTTAGGATTAGGTTTAGTTTATAATTAGAATTTATATTAGAAATGTTAGGGTTAATTATTCGTAAGTCATCGTCTTTTAGGAGTTATTAGCGCGAGGTCCAGTATATTTAACTTAGTATATTTTAGTCCTCGATTAGAATCTTTTATTTTTCATTTTAGTTCTCATATTTTTCGCGTATTTGATTTCATCCTTAATTAGTAATATACTTAAAATCTATTTTTTAGACATTTCACTCTTAATTTTCACATGTTTCGTTTTAGTCCATGTTTAAGTTTCTTATGTGTATGTATGTATGATTAGTTAGGATTCATTTAGGGTGTATGTTTATCCTAGGTTTGAATGATGGCGATATGTGTGCATATGTTATTATATGGTTCATAAGCATGGATTTAGATGTAATATATCCTTTTATTTAATTGATCTTTACATGACATCATTTTGACATAATTTGCATGATAGCTTCACTTGCATAACTCGACATATTCATAATTGGATTAAGGGTAATATATTTTTAATTTAAATTTTTTTTAAGTGGGCAGTCATAACTGATTTGAGGTCCGCTTTTAATGATTTTAAAATAAAAGTGTATCCCGAAAGTGAAACAAAAAATTGATTCGTCACCTAAAATTTGGGAACGAGAGAAAAAGAAATGTTCGTTTATTTAAATATATCGAGAAAAGGTTGTTATATCTTTAAGATCTGGTCTCGATATTTGTAAATAATCGAACATTCTTTATCTTTCTAAAATGACTTGGTAATTTTAATTTAATTTGTTTGAGTGTTTTTGAATGTTTTAGATTTACATTTTTATTTTATGGGATCAAAAATCAAAATAAACTCGAATTTGTAAAGTTCATTGCAAAGACGTTAATTAATCGACTAGGTACCGATTTAGGACGTTGTGGGGGTGCTAATCCTTCCTTACACGTAACCGACTCCCGAACTCGGATTTTGGTAACGCATACCTCAATTTGTTATTTTAATTAAAGTTAATTTTTATTTAAAATGACAAAGCATTTTTGGGTACCCAATCACACCCTAATCAAAGATTGGTGGCGACTCTTCGAACCGTATTTTTCGATTGTAAAGGAAATTCAAATTTTTTTGAAACGATAGGTCTTTTAAATCGTATATGTTTTTAAAATGAAAAGAGACAATTAAGAATTAATGTGATTTTCAAAATCTCACATTTTTCACCTTTTAAGAAAAAAATCGTTTCGACAACCAAATCTTCCTGGTTTTTTTTTTACACCATCAAGATCTATAATAAATGTGATTAACTTGCTTTTTAAATAATAAAACTGGTCTTATCTTTGGACCTTGGTTTAGGAACCTAAAAAAATCATAAGTTCCAAAAGTTTCCACTTTGAATCTTCTTGGGATATTTAAAACTATCTTGGGTTTTTTTTCTTCTTTTTTCTCTTAATGGAAAACTCAAGGAACAAGCGAGGGTATGAGGAAGGTATTGAAGACGCAGGCTATCTTACTGAAACGAAGAAACCAAAGTTACCCGCTTTGGCAAGGTACTTGTTCAAGTTGATGGCCGCTTTTTCTCTTGCTTAGATGCTAAGTTTTGATTTTTCATGAAGTGCCTGTATTTTTATGGTGAATTGGTTGATTAGTAGCTGTTTGTTAGAGTTTCTAAGCGATCAAATATGATTGATATGCATGAGTTCTTGAATTGTTTTCGTTGACTTTATGCATATCAGGTTTTCACTTGAATGTTTGAAGTTTGAACGTAATAATATATATATATATATATATAAACTTACACAAAAAGCTTGACTTTTTGATTCAGCAACTTCAACAGATCAAAAAGCTATGGAGATGGCTATGTCAAGAATGGTAATCGTATATATTTGAGTTACAAAACCAGTGACTTGTGAATGCAATGCGTTCATTCTCGTCCTGCAGAAAACACAAGGCAAAATCTTTAGGATTGATTTAGGTTTTGCCAATTATTGAATTTTTTAATAGGTTTCTTTAATTTCACAGTTCAATATCATGTAAATGAACAGCTTCTGTTGAATTTGATGAACTTGCTTAACGTGGTTTATATAAATATATGTGACCTGCAAGTCCATTCCTGTTGATACATGAATTGATAGTATCCATATATGTATGCATATGCAGTGTAATTGTGGAAGTTCTGAAGGTGGATAGTATGCAAAGACTTTCCTCATCGTTGGAGCCTATGTTACGCAGAATTGTGAGTCAAATGTTTCTTTCATAGCTTTGTGTTTATCAAGTCTTATTTGTTATGTGTTTTTGTTGCTTTTTACTTTTCATTTTCCCTAAAGTAATATATTCGACATAGGCCAAACATAAGCATCGGGCTATCATTCTCAATACATATGAGTAAACTTTGGACAAAATTTAGAAAACCTGTATTTGACACTCACTTCCGAGTCCGAATAACATCGGAGAATCCAGCTCTGAGCAACCATGGCCGCAGCTTATGTAAAACTCTTGATAATTAGCTCTTTTTCATAAAATTTTACTATGTTATATACTATAGAAATTCATTTTATTTGTCATATTGGCTGGTTTCTTGATGATATATATATATATATATATATTTGCATTCAAATGTGTTCTATCATGAGTAAACTTCCACTGATTCTACATTTTGAATGAATTACAGGTCAGTGCAGAAGTGGAACGGGCTTTGACAAGAATAGGGAATGGTCAATTGACTGCGAGGTTTGCTCTTCTACACCCAATATTTGGAATTTATGCTATAATTTTCTCTTTTATTCTCTTTCATATTCATCATGTTCATAAAAGGTAGCGGTACTCTTTGCTTTTCTGGAAATATTCATGTTCGATACATATTTGAATATGGAGGAGAATGATCTTCCAAATATTTTGAAATGTTTTTCTTTTAAAAAAAATGCATTCTTCATAAGATGTGTATCTGACACAGAGGTCTGTAAGCTCATTCTGATACAACATTTATCACGTGACAGTTCTCCACCGAGACTGCAAAGTGCAGATGGAAGAAATCTGCAGCTTCATTTCAGAACAAGAATGCCACCTCACCTATTCACAGGAGGGAAGGTTGAGGGTAAGCAAGGGGCTGCCATCCATGTCGTCTTACTTGATGTGATCTCAGGGACTGTGGTTCAAACCGGATCAGAATCATCACTCAAACTCAATGTGGTGGTGCTTGAAGGTGACTTCAATGAGGAAGCTGATGAAGATTGGACAAAAGAACAGTTTGAGAGTTATGAAGTTAAAGAACGCAAGGGGAAACGGCCTCTTTTGACCGGGGAACTACAAGTGACCCTCAAGGAAGGAGTTGGAACTCTAGGAGATCTTACTTTCACTGATAATTCAAGCTGGATTAGGAGTAGAAAATTCAGGCTTGGTTTGAAGGCTGCTCCCGGATGTTGCGAAGAAATTCGTGTTCGAGAAGCTAAAACCGAGGCTTTTGCTGTTAAAGATCACAGGGGAGAATGTGAGCTTTCAACTACAAATAACCTTATGATGCTCTTGAATTTGGCTTGAATCCTTCTGCAGTTGTTTTTATTGTTTGGCTTGCATTATTGTTTACTTGCAGTGTACAAAAAACATTATCCACCTACATTGCATGATGAAGTGTGGAGATTGGACAGAATAGCCAAAGATGGAGTATTACATAAAAAGTTTTTGAAAGCTGATATCATAACAGTTGAAGATTTCCTTCGACTTCTTGTTCGAGATTCGCAAAAATTAAGAAATGTAAGTGATATCCCTCTCAACCAGATCTCTCTTTTCCACTCTCAAGCGACATCGTATAGCTCTGTTTTTACCGCTACATTCTTTGATATCTTGATATAGATCCTGGGAAGTGGAATGTCAAATAGAATGTGGGAGAACACAGTGGAGCATGCTAAGACCTGTGTCCTGGGAGGAAAGCTTTATGTTTACTACACTGATCAAACACATAGCGCAGGTGTTGTTTTCAATCGCATTTATGAACTCAGAGGTCTTATTGCTGATGGACAGTTCCTGTCTTTGGAATCACTTAACCACAATCAAAAGGTTAGATTTTCTTCTGCAGAAATGAGAAAACCGGAAAACTAACTGCCCCGGCAAGAGTGATATGACTAATTGACATGAAATTTTGCCTGCAGCTTTTTGTTGATTCCTTGATGAAGAGAGCATATGAAAATTGGCATCAAGTTATAGAATACGACGAGAAGGTTCTCAACACCCTTGCAAGTTCAAAGGGAGCCAACCCGACGACAGCACTGGTAAACGAGAGCAATTACACTGCAGATTATTACACCACAACTGCTCAGAACAGTAGGCAGCAGCAGTATATAACATCAGAGCAAACTCCACAGTGCCAGAATAATAATACCCACCAAGCGGTCCATCAGTTGATTGAATTTCCCTAGGTCTGATCAGAATGCAGTAATGACAATGAATAATCACAAAGCACTGTTACCTAGCATCACCACAAATTACATGCCAATTGGAGGAAGTACGACAGCAGCCGGGGGGTCAGATTTTGCAGGAGATTGGTCTCATCCGAGAAGCGGGCATGGATTTGAAGATTTCTTTGCTGATGAAATCCGGCTTAGGAGTACGGAAATGTTAGTGACCGATGACATGCAAAGACTGCTGAAGACTTTTAGTGTAGGTGTTGGTATGGGAGCTAGTTTTGGTCATTCAGACGAGTCTCCTTATACATACACCATCCCTTATGATCATCAAATGAACCACCCTTATCCTTATGCTCAGGAACGTGGCAAAGGATCGGGGAAAGCAGTTGTCGGGTGGCTTAAGTTGAAAGCTGCTTTAAGGTGGGGAATATTTGTACGAAAGAGAGCTGCAGAAAGAAGAGCTCAGCTGGTTGAGCTTGATTGACTCATCTGATGCTTTAAAAGACTTATTTTAACATCATTATCTTTTAGCTGGTTAACAAATGATTGGTGACCCAACAATCATTAACCTTCGTTGGCAACATTGTTGAATGATTCCGAGTTCCGTTATCTTTGCCAGTATTTGATTAGGCATTATTCATCAGAGAAAGCTGATTGTGACAAGTCAGAATTTCTGTACATGAAATGTGATTCTATTTGCTCCAGATGTGTAATATTGTCGTATGCTTTTAACACTTAATAATAGTTTGATTCGTTTTATTCTTAGATAATGGGATGCAACTTTATTTTTGTAATGACTCTGCTTATCCAAAGATGATCCAAAAAGGGGGTTGACGCTTTCATTAATTTCAAGCATAAAGAAATGGAGCAACAGAAAATAAACTACAGATTCCTAATAAGAGGATATAGATTTATGCTTTTTCACCGTCTTTTATCGGATAATCAGCATCGACCGTCTCTTATGCACTATCCGAGGGGATATGCAGGCTGCAGCATCACATCCAAATCCCCCATCCATCAATAGGGTCTCATTGTTTTGCTCCTGCATCAAGGATAGTTATTTTAAAGAACCTACAGAGGCTAAAACTGTAAACCAGGTTCAATCAGGATCATTTTTGTAACACCCTCAACCCGTATCCGACCCGGATCAGAGTCTGAGGTGTCACATTGATTTTTTAAAACATTTATTTGTATAAAATAGTGAGTAATTTAAAACTTTTATAACATATAACTTATTCAAAACGTTTACAGAACTATTCAGAGCTTATACACTATATTCTTTTGAGTACATGCCAACTAGAACTTTATATATTAAAATACATATTATTCACCTCTCTTCTGATATGACCTTCAGTAAGGAGAACTGACATGTATTGCTCCACATTGCTCTTTACTCTTCTCATTTTTGTAACCTACGTGTGAAACAATCACACGCTAAGTTTATGACTTAGTGAGGCATTAAATTTATAAAAGAACTCTAACTATTTAAACATGCATAAGCACATCATCTTATATATCATATCTACACATGCATATAATTATCTTCTTTCCTATCATTATCATATCATTACTATTCATATTTCTATTCTCTTGTTTATATGATCCATTATGTTCATATCATATATCTTATAACATATACAATAATCACTAACACACATATATCATATCATATACATTGTATTCAATGTTATTTCTTATTAGCTCATGTACACATGTCACTAATTATTTTTATCGTATAAACATATACTAAACATTTCTATACACATCATGGTACACATATATCAGTTCACAACCGAACACACATCGTATCATATCAATTGATTGATTTATTCCCTTTAAAGTCTATGTATTAGCCCAAGTATACTTTTGAGAACTTAAGGTATGTGATTACATTGAGGTTGTGCACCACTATGCTGTCACCACAGCTCGTATAAATGTCCCGAAGGACTTATCCAGAGGTCATAAAGAACCTCGACAACTATCCATAGGTCCCGAAGAACCTAGGTAAACTGTCCATATGTTCCTTAGAACATAGGTATACTGTCCATATGTCTCGAAAGACATAGGTAATTATGTCCATATGTTCCATAGAACATAAGTAAACCCTCGACTCTTGGCATGCCAACTATACCTATCGCTCTCGTATCATATAACATGGGCATTTTCACTTATATCATTCCACATATACACTTTCATATCACATGTCATATAAGCTCATAGCTTCTATCACATATACATGTAGTCACGTAGTTTCTTTTCACATAGTTCATGTCAATTCTCATATGATTTCATATTCATACTTCACATGGCTCATATCACTTTACATGGTCTCACATATATTTTCCATATAACTCATATCATATGATTCATATCTTATTCTTCTTTCATCATATATATCATCTATGTTCATTCAGTTAATATCTTATATTATCATTTAGGCCAACCCAACTTAATTTATCTTACTTTTCATTTATTCACTTAAATCTAATTCATATAATTGATACCTTATCATCATACCATTACCTATACCCGTTGCACATGAAATCACATATAACACCTATGACTATATTCATGCATAAATAATAATCATATCACCTATATTAACATTCATAAAATCATGCAATCAAATATTGGAAGTAGACTCATCGTGAGTCTTTTCCACACATATCATATACCAATGCATATGCATTCACCTTGGCCTCACTAAGTTCCAATCCACTTTTATGCTTTCCTCTCTTTCGCTCGAATTTTAACTTGATAATCGTTCTGGAACTTGTTCGTGCTCGATATCTATATAATCATACATTGATACATATCAATATCTAATTGATATATTCTAATCTATCATTTCTTAGAACAAAAGAAATGTCTATTTCAATTTCCCCTTGAAGTGCATCGATACATTCTATAGTGCATCGATGCACTCTTTAACATGTGCATCGATGCACTCCTTATGCATCGATGCACTAATTACATTCGATGTTTCTTCTTTAAAGAGTGCATCGATACACATTGAATGTGCATCGATACACCTTGCCCAGAATTTGCATTTTAAGCCCGAAAACCATCAACTTTTCACTCAATTCTTCTATTTTAAGCCCCTATCATGTCATTAAACTCAATTACCATTACTTAAACCAACTTATATCCATATAAACAATCTCTATCTTCCATATCTCATCATGATTCTTAAAATTTAAGAATCTTGCTAAACTTTCAACTTTGTTATTAATCTTTTCTAACTTCATATCTCTTATTCTTAGTGATGACAAGTCAAATTCCTTCTCAAATTTCACTTATTACTCTTTTCCAGAAATTCATCTAAAAACTCATTTTCTTTAATCTCTTCTATATCTTTCATCTTGTTGTTTTAGAACAAATTAAGTTTTCCTTAAGCTTAATTATCATCTAATAATCATAACCCAACCTTAAAATCAATAATTAATCAACTAACAAAGAAACTCACCTTTGAGTCAGGCCTTCACGTATGAAGAAGGAAGAAGAGAAGAGAACTCTGGAACCTTTCTCTCTTCTCAAGTGGTTCCTTATCTTATAAAAAAAATCTTCCTTGTCAAATGACCCTTTTGCCCTTCAATTCATCTAATAATTACTACCAACTTTTATGATTTATTTCCAAATAAATCATTGAACTAATCTATGGTTCTACTCTAGTCACCAAATTCTAAAACTTTACAATTTGATCACTAAATCGGTATTGAGGATGTTACATTTTTTTTCCTGTTAGTTAACTATTTTGCATAATGTGCTCAAAGAATCTCATATTTCAACACCAACATTAGCTATAACATGAACAAGGAAAAGAAAGCATAAAAATTGTAACCAATAAAGGCAAAGGAAGTTCTATTGTCACACCAATTTGATCATGGAACACATTATATCCGACTGAAACCATTCTGTGGCTTTGACTGCTCGAATAGGAAATCGTCATTGGACCTAGATTCTGTGGCTCTCTTGCAAATTATTTCTTGGCAACTGCTCATTACCGAATGCTTCACTTGATGGGAAATTGGATAACTGAACTTGTACTCTGCCAGTTATCATCGCATCTATCATGATCAATACAATTAGAAGAACCATGAACACTCATCGTGCCAGTAGATTCCTAATGCAAGTAAGAAGGATCTTTATTGTCTGTCTAATGCTGCAACTATGATTGCTTGCTGTGTTGTAACACTGATGAATCTTCTCAGGTAAAGCCTATATTTCTGCAAAACAACATAAAAAGGTGAGAAAGTTCATATCAAATTCATTTCTGCTGAGTCTTCTAAGGTAAAAGCATTAATCTACACACCAATGTTTAACCAGTGTTGTAGTCACAAACACCATGCCTAATCCCCTTCATTACAAGCTTGGTGCTGACAACACTGGAATTCATTAAGAGAAAGAAATTATATTAAATCATTCCAAAACTCAAATATATTTCTCAAATTTACCAATCCTTTTAAGTTAACAGGCAATAACGAAAAAGAAAAGATGGGAAAGTTCATTCATTCCACAAAAAATTTCAAACGAGAAAGGGTTGGAAGGCAACAAAAACAAATGAATAACATTAATTGAATAAAAAAAGGATTAATGCTTACTTATTACAGGCAGATCATTTCAAGAACCCCAAGCTCAAGAAGCTTAAACACGTCCATATATGGCATATTAACAGCACTAATAACCAAATCATATCTTAATTAATCTCTTCCTTTTCATATGAAAATGGCGGATGATTTTATATGCTATTGCAACCTATTTTTTATATGCTTTTGTAATTAATTTTTTTTATAAATTTTTTAAGATTGAATTTCAATACTCCTCTCTAAATTGTGTTTATTAGATTATTTTACCCATCTATTATTGTTTTGAATCTTAAACGGGATATTGACGGATGTTTGAAATCATCAAACATAGTGATAAAGTTCAATTTGTCAACGAGCTATAATTGTTATATATTTTTTTATGTTCATGTTGATGATATTTATCCTTCATCGTCGACGATTGTATTTGTTTGTATTTATCATTTGTCGGAATTTTTTGATCCAATTTTAACTCTTTCTTTATATGATCCTATTTTATTTTTAAATGATTAATATGAATTAAGAACAAGGGTTGTTATTTCATAGGTTGGCAATGAAAAAATTTATTTATGTTTATCTATTTGAATGTCATTTATTATATTTAAATAACTTTAAACATTAATCCCTAACCTCTATACTATAAATCTTAAAATTTATGACCTTACAACCCATTTGGTTCACGGATTTCTTCATTCCTGGGAGGAATTTTTTTTCCTGGATTAAGATACCCATGTTTGGATAGACCATATTCCCAAGTGAGGGTAAAAACTAAATACCAACAGTAGTTTTTTTGTTCTGTTTAACTGGGAATCCAAATACCATGTCTCCCTTAGGTATTTGTTTATTCTCGTCCTCTGTTGGCTAAAATACCCTTCTCCCCGTTAGCTTGGTTCTGGCTGAAACAAAATTTCTTCTTCTTCAATTTGGCAAGAGTTGCGAAGATCTGTCCATTATTTCTCCAACGAACTTCTTTTGTGGTGCTCTAGCTCTATCTGCTAATATGTTGCTAGGTTTGTCTCTCTCTCTCTCTCTCCCTATTTGTAGTTTTTGTTCCTCCCCAGTAGTACTATTAAATCCACGCGTTTCTATTATTCAAATGTTACTCCTCCATCTTTGTCTTCTAAATTATGTCTTGTCTAGCACTCGATCTTGAACTGGGCTTTGATGGGTCTTTGGTTTCGAGTTTAGTTATTTCGTTTGATTCATCGACTTGATGGTTGAATTTGAAAACTGGGTTTTCATGGTCTAGGGAAACAATTGTTTGCTTCTTTTCATGGTCTAGGGAAACAAAGGTTTAGGTTTATTTTGAATTATTTTCATTAAGCGTAACTAATCATTTTTCTCAGTGGTTCTTTTGAGTTATTTTCCTAGTATCATGTACTATCCTTCCATTATTTAGTGGGTTTTTTTGGGGGGGTAAATGGAGGTCTTGATACATCATCTGGATGGAATTTAGGAGGTTGATAAGTCTTGGTTGAGCCCTGTTCTCTCCATTGTTGCATTTACATCATAACTTGGTTTCTGATAATTGTCTGTTAGAAAGCAAAGTTAATTCTTGGGTGAAAAACTGTAGTTGCAATTCTTGTTCAATAGTTACACGGTTCCCTCGCTACAATGACCCATTGAAGGTATGAAGCTGTAATACTTCGTTCTACCATTATCTTCTTTTTTTCTTTTCCTTGTGTATGGGGTTCAAGTATCAATTGTTGAATTTTCTCCATTTCTTTTTGCAGCTTGTAGAAACAAGAAAGTGGCGTTGTGGAGAGTGGGCCAATTGCTTCACATTGTATTGTCGTGCTTTTGGCTATGACTCTCGTCTGGTTAGTCATTTATATGACAATTCAATCTCCAAATCCAACTGACTAAAACACAACTCTTTCTATCGTTAAAAAGAATATGGTTAAGCTAATTTATAATAAGAAAGAAATTTGTTCCGACTGCTGTACTTGCAATATATATGGACCTGGAATTGTTATTCTTTCGATCTGAAGCTTTTGATGACATGATATCTGTAATATCTAGTCCACTAAATAGAAGGATTTGGAAATTCAGTGAAGATAAACCTTTTATTTGATATTAGGACAATGTTTGACCTGGATTATTTTGATTCTGTATTATCTGCCAAACAAAGAACATGTTCAAGATAGATTTAAAGAATTTTGAAATGGTATGTTTGTTTATGTATAATATTTTGATATCTTTGACATTGTAAATGAAACCCATTTTTAGCTTTATAACTGAGTGGTTCACTGGTTCATTTGCTGATAATTGTATTGTAATACCCCAAATTTTGACCAGTGACTAAAATGTAAGTTTTGAAAGTATAATTGCTAAAGTATAAACTTTGAAAATTTTAGGACCCAAAATTTGTAATTTTTAAAAGTTATATATATTTTATGCATGTAAATGAAAAGTTTGGATTAAAACAGAGATTTTAGTGGGGATCATATTTTTGGTACGAAAATTGTGATAAAAGTTATAAAGCAGTAAATTTCGGTATTGAAATCATATAATCGGAACGAACCAAAATTTTATGAAAATTTGAAGGATGATATAAAATGGTTGGAAATATTATTTTCATATTTTCGATCAGAGAAATTTGGCTCAGAACAGTGCAATTTTTCAGATTTGACCAAACAAATGGAATTTTAGTGACTAAAATGCAATTTTTGAAAATTGCATGGTCAATTTTGAAAGTCAAAGTCAAGTTGTATCATCTTTGACCAAGGAATATTTTAAAAGAAGATAATACAATGACATTTGGTAATTTTCAAGATTTATTAAGGGCAATTTTGGTATTTGGTCCAAAAAGGAATAAAAAAATTCATTTAATTAGTTTTAAAGGTTAATAATTAGAGATATTTTTTTGAGAACCATCGTGAAACTCTTCTCTCTTCTCCAGCTAGCTGCTGAAACCCATAGACAAGGTGAGTCAATTTGTTTTCTTCTATTTTTGATCAAATTTGGTGAGTTTTGGGATTAAATTGTGAAATAGAAAATTGTTCTATCATATTTTCTCTACAAGATGGTATAATTATTTCTTGGTTTCATGCTTAAATGTGAAAATGGGTATTTATGGTGGATGAAGGGGAAGTGTGATTTTTATGATTTAAGATTAATTCTTGATATTAGAAGTGTTGTAAGAATTGAAGAATAACCAAGGATGCAAATTAATGAAAACAGTTTAGATATTCGAATTTGGCAGTGAGTTTGAAAATTCACCAGAAATTCTATAAAAATTATTTGGAGGTGATTTTTATATATTATGTTCATATATCAATCTAGTTTTGTTTGAAATAAACGGAGATCAATTTCAATGTGTATAAAAAAAAGATATGAATTTTTAACTGAGGAAATGTCAGAAAAACGGGCAGTATATTCTGCACAAAACAGATTCTGTTGGCCAACTTTGAAAATTCACCATAAATTGTACAGAATGAATTAGAAGGATTTATTTATATGGATAGATTTTTATTTGAGTCTAGTTTTCAATGGAAGAAACGGAATTAAATTCCAGTGTGTATATCAACACAGAATACTGATTCTTTAAAGGTAGTGCAAGTTGTTTGAATATGGAAAGTTTAGAATTTAAGTTGAAATGAAGTAGAAGATGAAGAGTAATGTTTAAATGTTGAGTATATTTTTTTTATACTTGGAATTTAAGTTAAATGGCAAGAGACCATTTTGAATAAATTGGGAATGTTGAGAAGAATTCTAAAAGAATTCATTTTAATGGTTAGATGGTGGAATTCGAAAGGTTCCAAAACTTTGGGGACGTGTTTGCAAGTTCTTAAATGAAGAAGTATTATTTGGTTATTTTATTCAAGTGCTGGAACTTTAGTAATTAATGTACAATTATCATAATGGTGAAGGACCATTATGAATTAAAGAAAGAAATTATAATATGAAATATACTTTAAAATAGATTTTTTTAAAGTTAGAACAAGAGTATTTTCAAAGAAACAATTTTTTACGGAAATTTCAGTAAAGTAAATGTTTTCAATTTGATGTGACATCTTTGACTAGTATATTGAGACATATACGGGTTAAGGGTGTTACATTTATTTGTATCAGAGCTACAGATTTAGCCGATTCTCGACCTAAACCGAGCCTATAATATGTCAAAAATATGCACATGCCACTAGGATGTCGAAATTACTGATATGGTATGGTATGATGATTTTATTTATGATGATGCTCCTTACTAATGTAAATTTGTGCTTTTGTTTAGATGTCGGGTTCGGAAGGCATAAGACAGACCACCGAACAAGATGTTCCCGAGGGAACTGGTAGTGGGAGTAGTAACGAAGTAGAGCACGTACCTCAACGTCAGGGAGAACATGTACATCAAGGAGTACCCGTTCCAGATCAGGGAACTTTCTTACAAGCTCTAGAGGCTATACTGGCTCGATATCAGCCGGCAGCAACACCTCCTCTTCCTCCGCCTCCACCTCCTCCTCCAGTTCCAAGAATATCGGTTCCGAAAGAATTAAAAAGTTTAGGAGCTGTATAATTTAAAGGTGAAGCAAATGAAGGGCCAGTGGTGGCAGACATGTGGCTGAATGATGTAAAAATAATGTTGGACATTCTTCATTGTACGGAGGATGAGAGATTGGGGGAGTAGTTTCATTGTTACGAGGTCAGACTCGTATATGGTGGACGAACGTGATGACACGTGTTCCTCCAGATCATATCACATGGCAATTTTTCTTAGAAACATTTCAGAAGAAATATATCGGAGAACAATTTATTACTCAGATGAAACATGATTTCTTTAATCTGATCCATGGTGGTAAATCTGTTTACGAGTATGAATGTGAGTTTAATAAACTTGCTCGATATGCCTCAGAGATGGTTCCCACTGAGAGAGATATATGTCAGAAATTTATTCGAGGTCTCCATCCCAGACTCAAAGAACTTTTATTGGCTGCGAACTTAACCACTTTTCAAGAAGTGGTGAACAAAGTAAAAGATTTGGAAATGACGCAAAATGAGAATTTTCTAATAGAGCGGAGACGACAATCTAAAAGATCAGGAGCATCATTCTCATCTCAATCTAAAAGAGGTCGAGATTCAGGTTATCAGCACCAGAGTAAATCCAAAGTTGGTGCACCTAGTCGCAGAGGATCCGAGGCTAAGGAAAAAGGGCGTCAGGTACAGACAATGACTACAGGAGCTGGCAGACCAGCTCAATCTCAAGGACAACACCCATTATGTCCACGGTGTGGAAAGTATCATTCTAGTGAATGTAGAGCGGGATCAGGAGTTTGTTTTCATTGTGGAGACCCAGGTCATTATATCAGAGACTGTTCAATGGCAGGAAAGAGATCTTTTCAAACAGAGCGATCAGTGGTAATGCCTCTGAGAGGTGGTCGAGGTAGAGGTAGAGGTAGAGGGAGGGGATATTCAGAGACAACCTCTCAGTCTGATGTTCGTGCTCTAGCGAGAATTTACAATATCAAGACTAATGAGGATCGTGACGATCCAGAGATCATAGCAGGTACTTTCTATCTTTATGATGAGCCTACATTTGTTTTGATTGATCCGGGTTCTACGCGTTTCTATGTTAGTTCGAAATTAGTTAAAAATAAGAATATTCCATTAGAACCCATCAATAGTGATATGATAGTTATAAATCCACTGGGTCATAGTGCTAGAGTTACAAGGATTAGCAGAAATTGTCCACTAAAGATTCAAGGGGTTATATTCCCAGCGAATCTTTTGGAGTTACCGTTTGACGAGTTTGAGATTATATTGGGCATGGATTGGTTATCTCGGCATTATGGTTGGGTAGATTGTCGCATGAAGCGATTATTTATAAAAGATGCAGAGGGTAACGCGATAATAGTAATTGGAGAAAAAGCGGGGTCTTTGCCTAATGTAATATCAGCCTTTACGACAATGAAAATGATGGAAAAAGGTTGCAAAGCTTTCTTAGCAAATGTGCTCGATACCCGGACATCTGAAATTCGATTAGAGAATATTCTGACAGTTCGAGAATTTTCAGATGTATTTCATGATAATTTACCCGAATTACCTCCTGATCGAGAAGTGGAGTTTAAAATTGAAGTTTTCCCGGGTACATCTCCTATTTCAATGGCTCCATATAGGATGGCTCCAACGGAACTCAGAGAACTAAAGGCGCAATTATAGGAGCTATTAGATCGAGGTTTTATTAGACAGAGTGTATCTCCTTGGGGTGCACCAGTACTTTTTGTTAAAAAGAAAGATGGCTCGATGCGATTATGTATAGATTATCGTAAACTGAATAAGGTGACGGTGAAGAATAAATACCCTCTTCCGAGGATCGATGATCTGTTTGATCAGCTCAATGGTGCTTTAGTATTTTCGAAAATTGATCTTCGATCAGGGTATCATTAGCTAAAGATAAAATAGGAAGATATTCCAAAGACGATTTTCAAAACTCGATATGGTCATTATGAGTTTGTTATGATGTCGTTTGGACTAACCAATGCTCTAGCAGCATTTATGGATTTGATGAATCGAGTCTTTCAGCCGTATTTGGATCAATTTGTGGTTGTGTTCATTGATGATATTTTGATGTATTCTAAGACTATGGAAGAGCACGACACACATCTCCGTATCGTACTTCAGACATTACGAGATAAAAAGTTATATGCTAAATTATCAAAATGTGAATTTTGGCTGTCAGAGGTCGCCTTTCTGGGTCACGTGATTTCAGCAGAAGAAATTAGAGTGGATCCTAAGAAAATACAAGCGGTAGTGGAGTGGAAACCTCCGAAAAATGTTTCTGAAGTCTGAAGTTTCTTGGGGTTAGCTGGATATTATCGGAGATTTG